ATAAAAACTTAGTTCAATTCACATATATAAATGTATTCTTTATTTTTGTATTATTTACACACACATATATATGTACATATATACATATACTTACATATATACACACATACAGTTGTATATCTATAAACATATCTATCTTATTCATGTATTTGTATATTTATTATATATACTCAGTATTACATATTCATGTTTACTACATATATATATGTATATATGTTTATATATATTTACATACAATTGCGTACATACTTTTATATATTATTATATGTATATATATATATTTATTTACGTGTTTATTTATACACACATATTTATTCATTCATTTGTACTTAATGTTTACCTATACATGCTTTACAAAGTAAACAAATTTATATCTAGGTTTAATTATTCATATACATATCTATAATCTAATTTTAGTTCACCATTATAAATATATATTTTGTTCTAGTTTTTATTATTATTTAATTTACTTAAAGTAATAGCAATTTTAGGAAGTTAAAATTTTCTTCAGAATACCTTAATTGAGAATACCCATTTTTTTAAAATTGTATAAGTTTATTCTCGTATTTTAGAACAATTATTTTTTAAATTATTAATCCATTTTTATTTCTGTTTATTTAAATTAGAGAATATATATTTATTTTACATTAGTAAATAAATCACATAATTAAAAGATTTTATTAAATCAAGTATATAGTAGCACACAACTAACTTTTACAATTGATTACCTAGCTAATATGCTTGTTTCTTTCTAGCTTGATACTTCTCTAATTTAGTGTAATCAACTAGAGGCACACAACATCAGTTACTTATTAAAACTCAAAAGAACAAGAATATGTGAAATCTGAGTTGCTGTTTAGGGGATAACCTTGTCATAGTAGAGGTTGATATGATGAGATTGACAGTTGTCCAAAGATGATGCTACGTTGTGGTAAGCTATAGTAATAGCTTTATTTGGAAAGTTAGTAAGAGCTTTATATGCACTATTTTTACGGCCCTTAGGGTGTTAGACTATGGATGAAGAAGATGGGTGATCTTCATCTTTTCCTATATATATATATGTGTATGTTTGTATGTACATATATAAACATAAATAATGTACTCTTTTTCTGTTTATTGAGCAAATTGGTTGGTTAATCATGGTTATTTTATTTTGATTTTTAATTTGAGTCTTAAGCTTCTTTATTATGTAGGGTACTATTTTCTTGTCCAATAGATTGAAATAATTGAAATACTTACTGTAAAAGAACCTTCTATGCTTCAGTTTTCTCAACTATATACCTAATGAATGGCATTTAAAACTTTTGAGGATATGTGCTGAAAGCTATATTTTCTTGCTATTTGTTTATTGGTGTGCATTTCCTTAGTCATTAGAATTTATGAATACCTTAACAAAATACAACATCGAAATTATACAAATGCTCATGCAACATAGCAAACACTTCAAGATTTCTTGATGTTCCTTTCAAAACAATTTTTAAACAATGGAATTATTTTTCTTTGCTTACACTTAGCAAAAAGAGATGAAGAAATTTTTCATATTTGGAAATATTACGAATTTGGTAATATGAGGTATAACATCTCGAATGATGAAGATAGTTGCTCCTTTAGTGCATGTATAGATAGGGACAAAACTTTTTCTATCATTTCTATGGCTTTTTCTAACTTTTTATGAATTGAATTCTTATATTTGACTTTGTAATGAGTCATAATTTTAGTTTTAGCCATTCAATGTTCAATATTATTGTGACATCCTAAATGCAAATTAAGGCATAATGGTGCCAAATACAAAAATATATTACGAGTGCATAATAATTAATTGTACGCAGTAAAGCAATTTATTACAAATCCCTTACAAAATATATGAGTTCCAATTACACATATATCTGAAGCCAGAAGTGGCAACAAAATACAAAAGATCAAAATACAAAAAGGGTCATTTTTATCATTATGTGAAAGGACTCATTAGACTACATGACAAGTCATGCACTCAAGGTTTATGGATCCAGGGGATCCTCAAAAACTTCAAATAGTAGGTTAGCGATCAATTCCTCACTATCTTCCTCATCTAGAGGGGGGCATGGAAATAGGTGAGTTCTATATACTCAGTAAGAAAAACAGTATTTAAATAATATAATAAGATTTTAAAAGTGAGTAATTACGTCATCAACACTTACCATCAGAAGTCATGTTAAAGTCTTTTCTTAAATTATAAAAATAATTTCTTTATTTTAAAAAACATCAAATCCATCATGTCATGCTCATATCAATCAAATCAATTATGCTGATAATAGAAAAAATCAAACAAATCATGATATGCATAGTTTTTCGTGTCATTTCTTCGCAAAGTCATTCCAACTTTCATCTCTTGAGGGCAAATATGGATTTTCGACTACCTATGTTGAATGACAAGTTTAGATATAACATTACACAATCTATGACTACAGTCGTGTCAACCACAGTGGTCCTCTAAAAAAAACTATGGTCACAGCCGTACTTCGCCAAAGGTGACTGCTATAAAAATATCACGTCACTACTCTCATCATAGGATACGCTGTCATCCAAAGGAAGTGGTCATCTCACGTCTTTTCAGACTAAATGAGAGAGAAATAGGAACCCTTAAGAGATAAAAAGTCTAACGAAATACTTTATGAATTATGCATGTCAATACGGATACATATTTCTCATACCATTTCATGCTTAATAACCTTCTCACATTTCAGTAATTGATCTCAAGAATTACATCATTTAAATCACATGCAAATTGTCAAGTTCATATACGATCATATAACATGCATTATCAAGTAAAATTTACTTTGTTTAGGTATTTAAAAATAATCATGCAGATCATAAATTCAAGCTTCATAATTTGGCTCTAGAAATGCTCCTTAAAATATTTAAAAGTAAATATTAAATTCCTTACCAAAATCTTGAAGTTTCTTATACCTTTTCTTCTTTTTCTCTTCACCCTCTCTCTCTAGATCACTCATTCTCTCTCTAAGCTCTTGGAGGATGGAAGAATGGAATGGAAATGATGAGGAAATGGTGAAGGGAGGGTCCCTATTTATATAAAATAGGGACCACCAAATTTGTGCCAATTGGAAAAATCTAATGAGGGAGAAAGTTAAGGAGAAAAAAAGTGATATGACGACTGATGGATGTGATTGACGGATGGATGACATGACGTGACGACAATGCAAAAAATAGAGGCATGCCAGCCAAACGATAGCGGCGCGTTGCCTGAGCCGACAGTAGTGGCTCGTCGCCCAACAGGCAGCGCGTACAGCCCAAGGCAGCAGCACGTTGTCCTAGTCGTCTGCGTGTTGCAAGCCTACCTTTTAGACGCGTCGGCATAGCTTGCCGCATGCAGGCCTACTATGCAAATGGCACACGCACAGGGCCCACAGAGCTGTAGACTAGGTCTCGCGCCCCACACGGATGGGACGTGCACACAGTGCGCACGTCTTGTGTTGGCCACACGCGGGCAGGACCCTTCCCGCTAGTATTTTCCCACAAAATTTTTGCCTTTTCTCTGTCTTTTTGTTCTAAAAATTTATTTTTAAATAATAACGATAAAAATAAAATTTTTCTACGAAGAAATAAAAAATATAAATTTATGAATTATTTAAATAAATTAAAAATAAAAATTTAAAATATGAAATACGATATTTATCCGAAAGTTAAAATCACAAAATATTTGAAGAGTTTATACAACCTTAGAACCCGAATAAATAGGGGTTCACAATTACAAATTAAGTGCAAAGGTCTCGGGGGTGTTACATTCCCCCCATCTTAGAAAATTTGATCCCCCATATTTTTCATGAATAAGTCTGGGAAATTCTCTCTCATCTCGCTCTCCAACTCCCACGTCGTCTCTTCTAGAGTATGGTGCTGCCACTACACCTTCATCATGAAGATTCTCTTGTTTCGTAAAACCTTATTGGTCCAACTAAGGATTTCCACAGAGAGTTCTTCATACGTGATATTAGCTTGTACCTGCATCTCTTCGTAAGAAATGATATGAGAAGGGTCATGGTGGTACCTTTTAAGCATAGAGACATGGAAAATATCATGTAGACCCACAAACTCTCAGGATAGAGCGAGACGGTACGCCACTAGTCCAACATATTTCATAATCCGAAAAGGTCCCACATAGTAGGGGCTTAATTTTTTATTTTTTTGAATCGCATTTTTTCTTTATTGGGATATATCTTGAAGAAGACTTGGTCACTGACGACAAATTCTAAGGGTCTTATACGGTTATCCGCATAATGTTTCTGGCGACTCTGGGTGGTGGACAAGTTTCTATGGATGATAGTAACCTTCTCGATAGTCTCTTGGATAAAATCAGATCCCAAACAACGCTAATTTTTAACTTCGCTCCAGCAAGTGGGAGAACGATAGAGCCTACCATACAAGGTTTCATACAAAGCCTTGTCGACGCTAGAATGATAACTATTATTATAATCAAATTCACATAAGAGAAGATACTCATACCAGTTATTGCCAAAGTCGAGGACACAAGCACGCAACATATCTTCTAATGTCTGGATAATACACTTAGACTAACCATCAGTCTGGGGATGATAAGTAGTGTTGAAGTACAATTCAGACTCAAACGCTTTTAGAAAACTATCCCAAAAGTAAGAGGTGAATCGAGGATCTTGGTCGAACACAATGGATGAGAGGACGTCATGGATTCGAACAATTTCATTGACGTACAGGAAGGCTAATCTACTAGTAGAGTCAGTGGTTCTGATGGGTAAGAAGTGGGCAATCTTGGTTAATCTATCAACAATTATCCATATAGTATTATGACTAGAACAGGTCCTGAATAAACTGGTGACAAAGTCTATGGTTACATGCTCTCATTTCTATTCCAGAATCGGGAGACCTTGTAATAAACTGCCGGGTCTCTGGTGTTCCGCTTAACTCGTTGACAAGTAAGGCATCGGGAGACATAGTCGATAATGTCTTTTTTTATTTCAGGACACTAATATTGACATCTCAGGTACCAGTACATCTTGGTACTCTCAGAGTGGATGGACAGTTTGGAGGCATGGGTAGCCTTGAGAACATTCGTCCTAATAGTGACAGGGACCCAAATATGGTCTCAAAATCTATACAACCCATCATTAGTAAGCCTAAAATCAGGAAATTCGTCAGAAGTGAACTTACTAAAATTTTTGGTGATTTCTTGGTCCGTGGATTGAGCTTCCCAAATCTTCATAAAAAGATCGGGCAAAGCTCAAATTTAAGCGAGATAGGCACCATTGTCATGGCAGTTGAGGCGAAGTGCCTAGATAACATCAACCAATTTTCAACTGGAGGGCATGGTTTGGCCAAACATAGTGAACACCTTCTAGTTCAGCACATCTGTGACCGCATTTCATCTATCGGGGTGGTAGATCATCTTGCAGTTATAGTCCTTAAGGAGGTCCGTCTAATGTCTTTGTCTCATATTCAATTTCCTCTGTGAGAAAATATACTTTAAACATTTGTAGTTAGTGTAGATTTCAAATATCTAACCAAATAAATAATTACGTTATATCTTCAAGGCAAATATTATGGCCGCTAATTCTAGGTCATGAATAAGGTAGTTGTGCTCACGGGACTTTAATTGTCTAGATCCATAAGCGACCACTCTATCGTACTGCATCAAAATGCATCCTCAACTAATGTGAGATGCATCACAGTAAACCTGAAATCTTCTAGTGTTGTCGGGGAGGATCAACATCGAAGTAGAGGTGAGACGATACTTCAATTCCATAAAGCTTTTGCCACATTCACAATGTTAAATAAAAGGTAAAATTTTCCTAGTGAGACGGGTCAACAGAGCAGCAATATTTGAGAATCCATCAATGAATCGTGGGTAGTAACCTGCTAAATGAAGAAAACTACGTACCTCAGCTACGTTGGTTGGCAGGTTCTAGTTGGTCACTGTTTTAACTTTGGATGGATCCATAGAAACTCTTTTGCTCGAAATTATATGGCCAATGAAGGTGACTCGATCCAACGAAAAAAGCATTTGTTGAGCTTAGCATACAGCTGATTCTAACGAATTGTTCCTAGTACCTTAGATAAGTGGACTACATGTTCTTCCGGGCTCTTAGAGTACACTAGGATGTCATCAATGAATACGATGACATATTGATATAATCCATGCCCGAAAACCCTTTTCATAAGATCCATAAAGTTAACATGGGCATTAGTTAGTCCGAAAGGCATAACTTTAAAGTCATACAGACTATATCGACATCGAAAGGTGGTCTTTGAAATATCTTCTTTTTTGACTCGCAATTGGTAGTAACCCGATCTGAGATCGATATTAAAAAAGATCATGAGTCCTTACAAATGATAGAAAAGATCATTGATATGAGGTAGAAGACACTTACTCTTCATCGTCACCCTGACTGAGTTCTTTGTAATCTACATAGTCTGAGGGAGCCATTATTTTTCTTCACGAATAACACCGGGCCACCCCAAGGGGAATGACTAAGGCGGATGAATTTTTGACTAAGAAGTTCGAAAAACTGGTTTTTTAGTTCTGCTAGCTCAGTACAACTCATGTGATAGGTAGATTTTGAGATTGGTTGTGTTCCAGAAAATAGGTTGATAAAAAACTCTCCCGCGGGGAGGCAGATTGGGTAGTTCTTCGAAAAAACTTTCTAAAAGTCGCAAACCGTAGGAATGGAGTACATAGTAGGATCAACATTCATAATCATGTTTATTCAATAGTTAAAAAATAATAAAAGTAGATTTTTATTTCATTTTTGGGGATCGCAAGGTTACAACTTTACTTTCGCAATTAATGGTTGCCCTATATTCCTCTAACCAATCCATTCATAAAATAACGTCAAATCCTGAGAAATCTAAAAGTATTAAATCCACTAATAATTCTACTTTTGAAGTTTTTATTTTACAATTTTTATACATACATTAAGCCTCTAATAAAACCCTAGAGGGAGTTTCTACAGCTAGTACTTCACCTAAAGGTTCAGGCCTAATATCTAATTTACAAGCAAATGCACAAAAGATAAAAAAGTGGGCAGCACCTGTATCGATCAA